CAGCCTTTTACTAAGTTTGCAGAGGAAAAGTTACACTTGAGGGTTCCACTCTACCTGAATTGTTCTATAAGCCTCTGAAGGGTGAGGACAGGCACCCCTAGCCTTGGCTTTCAAAGGCAGAGCTGGAAAGGAAAGAGGAGAGGCACAGTACACAAAACCTGGAAGGTGGAAAAATAAGGGGAGGGCTCCAGACTTTGGCCTCTAAAAGCCCATTTCTCTCCATTTTATTCAGAAGCACAAGTTGGCATAGTGTGGAGCTGATAACTGCAAAAAAGCAACCTCAGCAATCCATTCCACTTACCAAAAACTAAAGTGAAATTTCAGTTGTATTTATGGTTGCTTTGGGAATTTTTTTCATGCAGCATTTTATTTTATTGTAAACCTTAATGGCAACTTCTATTTTTTTTTCCTTTCTTGAATCTATTTATTTATTGAATCACTGTGGGAAAAGTTACAAAGCTTTCAAGACTAAGTCTCGATGACACAATGATCAAACATCTTTCCCTTCACCAGTACTTCTTTTTCACCACCAAGAACCCCAATATATTCCCCTCCCACCCCTCCCAATGCCTGTGAGGCAGATGATTTCTACTTAAGTCTCTCTCTCTCTACTTTGATTATATTCATTATTTCGACAACAGATGCACCATTATTGTTTAGAAATTCCCCCCAACAATCAGAATTGCTGAAAAGGCAATGTGAAATAATTTGTTTTCTAAGGCTGGCTATGAGAACCATATGATTTTGGATTTCTGATATTTTACTAGGTAAGTCTGGAGGGATTTCTACAAAGAGCCAAATAATTACGAGATTGGTTTCTGTGTGTCTGGTGTTATGGCCATGCTGGAGAGCCACTCGTGGGGGGCAACTCGTGACCTCAGTAGGGCGTGAAGGACGAGCTAGTACTGCCTCCCTTCCCATGAGACTGCAGGCAACTTCTATTATGGCCTGAAAAAGCTCCCTATTCCTTTAATACTTCCCCCCACCACACCTTTTAAAATTACTCAGCCAAATCAGGAATTGATTAGGTAAACAGAAATAAAAACTAGCTAATGTTTGGGACAACACCTCTTCCCACCCCAACTCCGCCCCACGATATTGGTTTCTTTAGCTAAAGACTACAACTCAAATGAATTTGAAAAGTAATGTTTCCTATTTTAGAAGAACCTAACTTTAGTAGTTTTAAATATAGCACTAAAGAATCTTATCCTAATAAAAATACCAGACATTTTTTTTTTGCTCACAGAACTACTCATCAAGAAACAGCAGTGTAAGGCAAGGATCCCAGAATCCTTGTCTACTCAAAAATAGATGGGACAAAAGAAATGACTTTCCAAGCTGCAGGATATGTATGTTGAAAAGATTTATTACTTGTCTTAGAGAAAGAGTAAAAAAAGAAATCATCTGCCATAGAGGCAGAGAATAGGGTGGAGAGGGATACTGGGGACACTGGCAGTGGAAAATGGTGGACAGATCGGTGTTCGATCATTGTATGACTAAGACGCAATCATGAAAGCTTTGTAATTATATCTCACAGTGATTCAATAAAAAGAAAAAGATTTATTATTTGTCTGTTAGTTGTAAGAGCCTCTAAATGATCTCTGAAGGACAGATCTAAACAAAACGTAAATCACTTAGTACCTCCATCCTATTTTTCCTGTTCTTAATGGTATTCCCCCTCTTACTATCCTATGTGCCATTTATTTGCTCTAAATGCTCATCTTGTCTTTTTTTTTTCTTAACACTGTGATGATTTACTTCCTCTCCACAAGTCTCAGTTTCCTCTATGGTCAAGCCACTAGCTAAGTAAATTCTAAGCCTATGCACAATGATGAATCAGTGGCTCTCTAAATAATCTGCTCCTGCCCTTGAATGTGGGATAATCATGCTGAACCAGGTTCAGAGGTAAGTAGGGAGAGGACCCAGTCTTAAACTCTATGAGAGTTACAAATAAGTGGAGCATGGCCTAAGAGGATACTTATCTCCTGAAGGAGATAGGATAATTGGTTAGAAAGGTTGAACAGTAGGCAACTGAGTCACAAGTTACATCAATGAGAGAAAGGGGTTCTTTGGATCTCAAACTCACTTTCATCCTAGAAGCATTTGTTGGTGTCCTCACATGAACAGAACCTAGTGGTACACACAGTGCAAGTCTGTGGAAAAGCTGCTCTTTAATTTCAGAAGTTGAGTTGTAAATATTTGGATTTCAGGTTATTGCAAGATTTTTAACCTCTGAAATGAGTTTTCCCTATTCCATTCCCCTCTCCCTTGTCCTCCGGAGCTGTGTTCCGACAGATGAGTGCATCCTTCGTGAAAGTGTAAATGCTCATCTTTTCAAAAGCAACTGCTGCCAATTATTTATGTCAGATTACTGAAACTTTAATACTAAGAACATTGGTACTTTAAGTCTGATTTCTACCAGGGCTGTGGAAGTCTTGGCCTTTGCTTGAAAACATATCAGGTTGTTTGAACAAGCTGGGGGAAGATTCTGGAAACATGGAGAGTCAGCTATTGCAGACCCCCAGACTCCTAATCAGAAGTAGGGGCAGAAATAAACTGGCTCCCTACCATGGAGGTTTGGGTGCGTGAAAAACTGGTATTCCTGGGTAGCTGTCTGTTTTAGGGTCCTCTTTACATCGACTGATTCAGTGTTAGGAATCACAAGAAATTTTTATCCAAGGGTGCTGGCACCTGATAGAACCCCAGATTATTTTAAAACTAGCAGGAAATCTGTTACTGAAGTTTCAAGCAAGGGGGCTGGAGCTATAGTACAGAGGGGAGGGCATTTGCCTTGCACGCGGCTAACCCGGGTTCGATTTCCAGCATCCCATATGGTCCCCCGAGGACAGCCAGGAGTGATTCCTGAGTGCAGAGCCAAGAGTAACCCCTGTGATTGTAGGGTGTGACCCAAAAAGAAAAAAAAGTTTCAACTAAGTAATTATTGAGCTGAGTTTCTATTTTAAACATACTTTGGCCTACTTTAATAGCTGAGAAATTTTGGGTCAATTTTACTATCTCTGGGAAACTTTTGGAGATCTTTTATGGGGTGGAATGAATCACTGTCCATAGCTCAATACTATTACAGTCTCCAGAAAGCTATGGACTTTGAGTCTTTAGTCTGACAAGGAAACTATGAATTTCTCTAAAGAAAGTTAATATGGTGTTCCTCTTGCCTGGGGCTCTTAGCTAAATGTAGGGCCTAGACGTAACTTTGGGGATCACTTCGTTTGTGTGATCCCACAGTATAGAGCAGAAGCAGATGCCAAAACCTAGTCACATTAAAGTCAACAATGAAATACTAGGTTTCAGAAGTCTGCTGATGTGGCTTGATTTTCAATGCTGGCTAAATTGATATTAAAGTTTTTATAAATTCAATACTGTGTTCCTTCCATTAGAATCAAAAGGGTAAATACATGTCCATCATTTCAGAATTAAACTGCTCAACAGATTTGTAATTTGAAACAACTTCCAGCAATGTCAGGAAGTTTAGATTTTTCTCCTCCTCATCAGAGGGTAAAGAAGATTGTGGTTGGTAAATATTTTATTATATACTTGATCTCTTATGAACACTTTGGGGCGAGGGGTGCTGAGGATGAGATCCATGCCAGGCCTTCACACACGCAACGCGTCTGCTCCACAGCTGAGGTCCATCCCTGTCCCCATTACTGAAGGCTGGAATCTGGGCAGAACACTGAGGAGCTTCTTGTGGATAAAATCAAGGCCATGGTTCTGTTAGTAGCAGCTGAAACAGTCGGATCCACTGTGTTCCTCCATGGCCTACATCTGGCAACTGATAGCTCAGAGAATGTGCCTCATGATTGGGGCTCTCTGAAGATCTCCCTCATTTTACAGGACTTGTAGTCATTCAGTGGGCAGATTGTCAGGTGAGCATTTATTTTTTTGCTTTTTGGGTCACACCCGGCGATGCTCAAGGGGTTACTCCTGGCTCTGCACTCAGGAATCACTCCTGGCGGTGTTCGGGGGACCATATGGGATGCTGGGAATCGAACCCGGGTCGGATGCGTGCAAGGCAAACGCCCTACCCGCTGTGCTATTGCTCCAGCCCCTGGTGAGCATTTTTAACAACAGAATTGTTTCTATTTAAATTCTATTTCTTTCTTTAAAAAATCCCCAAATACACCTGTTCCAACAGAGCCCCACCAGCCGACAACCTCCAGAACTTAATTACTGCTATGCTCAGGGCTGAGCTTCACAGGTTTGAATGAGCCTCATCCATGAGCCTCGTCTGCTGAAAAACTCAGCTATGCAGGTTTTTTGACTGAAATCTTCAGGCTCACACAGTCGGGAATGGGCCACCTCCACCCATCTCCCTAAACTTCTAGGAGCCTGGCAGTCACAATCACGAATTGCCTCAGGTGGCATCTAAGCTCATTAATGGCCATGATCCAGAGACTCACAAATAAATCTCAGAAGAGAACAAGCTGATGACATGCCTCTGGACCCCAAAGTGACCATCCAGTTAAAAACTTAATTCCAACTGTATCACCCCATTTAAAATTTTTGAATTTCTAGAGTGCGCAGCATCTCACACTCTACACTACTGATATACCAGGAGTAGCACACCACGCTGATGGGGTGTCAATTAAAATGAATAAAAAATAAATTTAAAAAATATACATATATAAGCACACAAGACTTAACCTATAACAGCATGTCAGCAAATCTCTTATACAGGGGCTTAATGGTTCCAGGCTGAGATATAACAATCGTCACACACTTTCTTCAAAGGAAACCTTGATCATTTTGGAGGGATTATTCATAACAAGCAATACAAAATAAATTATTTCGGACCTGCTACTGGAGTAGGCTTGAGTGGGGGTGGGAAGGTGTAATGATGGTGGGACTGATGTTGAAATATTAAACATAATAAATTATTGTGAACCCTATAAAAATAATTTTTTAAAAGTTCCCAAGTAAAAAGGCAGTTTAAGTGTGAAAAACATGCTTTTTGTATATGTGATGCACAACATACAGCACGATTACAAGTCATATTTAAATTTTATTTAAAAAATACATGGTCACATTAGAAAGCATAGTTTACAGTGGTAAGGCAGCAACAGTCTTTATTAAAAATTCTAAAAAATAATCCAGCTTTACAAGTAAAAAGGAACACTGATTATCATTTAAAATATTTAAATTTAAAATTAATTCCTAAACAAAAACAATCTTTCCATTCCCACAAATCCAAAGTATTTATTGGTTTTTAAAGACAAAGACTTTTCTCTGGTGTTTTAGGTCCAAGCCGGGTTCTATGAAGTAAAATGATGCTAACAATACAACAGAAAGGCAATTCAGAACCCCTAGTGCACGCAAAGATTATCTGCCAGGCCTGCGTCAAAGAACCCAGTCCACTGTTGAAACAAGCTCTTCAGCAACTGAGCTTTAGCCCATGCTGAGTGGGTCAGGCCCCAGAGGACCTGTTCCAGGAAAGTCACCCCCTTTCAGGAGTCATATGGGTTCCTTATCATATACCTTATCTATTCATGGGGCTCTCAGAACAGAAATTAAAGAACCCATCTACCTTACTCTCAGGGGCAGTCTTTTACAACTCCCACCCAACTCTATCATTTGGAGACCCCACCACAGGGTAACTACAGAGGGTTACACTTATACTTTATAGGTTGCCTGACCCTGGAACCAGCCCAGGGTCTTGGCTATGAACCCCATCGGTCTATGAGAGGTCATGGAAAGTTCTTCCAAATCAGCAGTCGCTTTGAATACGGTGAATAAAAGCTGAGAAGAGTGAGAGCAGTAAATACAATTGCCAATTAGGCTGATTTGTAATAAAATACATTTGAAATCAATCAAGCTAAATGGTATACATATAAATAATACAAAAGCCAATAGCTACAATAGCACATCAGGCATCTCAAACTCTAGAAACCGGAAAGCCTCTTCAAAATGCTTAAATATAATTATATGAGGGAAAAAAATCTCAGTGAAACAAAGTCAAGCAACCTTATTTCCAAATCTGTGTGACTTAATGATCTCCTGTCCTCATTTACTATATGGACTTTAGTGCTTCTTAATAACTTAGTATATGAGAAGACATAACTGGAAAATGAAATATACAGAAGGCACTATTTTGGTACTAGTAAAAGGAGCAGTCAGAGTTCCCCTCCAAAATAAACTGCACACCCACCCTGAATCTCAATGTTTCATAATGTGTATTCTGAACACAATGCTTTGCTTTGGGGAAGGGGGCACAGCACGGGCACACTTGACCAAGACCATTCCTGGTGTGGCTTGGGGGACCATGTGGTGTGCTGGTGATTGAACCCAGTGGGTTCATGAAAGGCAAGTGCCTCACCTGCTGTGCTATTTCTCTGCCCCCAAGTGCTTTAATGTCCTGTGGAAATCATATTTTGGTGTTAAACAGCTCTTTGATGCACATCAGAAAACATTAGGAGAACATCACAGGAACGGAAAGTTGGAATCTTGACACAACTTTATCCTGTGGCTTGAGATCTTGAAATATGCCCTCATTTAACAGGAAAAAAGAGGACCACCAGATTCCATTGCTATGGCCAGTAGTGGAGGGCAATTCTTTTTCTTTATTTCCCCTGATAAACACTTAAATAAACATAACAATTCTCTATAGTTTCTAACTTAAGAATATAAAAACCACTTCTTGTAAACACCCAGAGCTTTAAAAATACTTTGGTTAATATTTAAGCTGAGGGCTAAAATATCTTTATTCAGAAAAATTAAAAGAGAAGCTTGTATCTTTAGAGAAAGATAATTCTGAACCGGAGTATCTGGTATCAACTATAGTTGATAATACTAAAATGTTACATGTGACATTAGTTTTCTTTTAATTTTTTGTTTTTGGGCTACTCCTGTCAGTGCTTAAGTGATACTCCTAGCTCAAGGGTCATGCCTGGTAATGACTAAGGGAACATGCGGTCTGGGGAATCAAAGCTGGGCCCCCAGCATGCAAAGCAGACGCACAGCCCACTGAGCTATCACTCCAGCTTCCCAATTATATATTTTTTAGTTTATATATTCCACATGATGTTTGGTCTTAGTGTTCTTGATACTTATCCCTGGAGGGAAGGTGATTGAGCAGTTTACACTTACAGTATACATCAGTTTACATATTACAGTATACATCAAAATTCATAATAATATTTTTCCATAAATAGACTTTAAACTTCAGTTAACATAACTACTTTCTTAAATGCACGGTAGGCAATTACAAATAATCTTTTGAAAAAGAGTATAAAATAAAGGTACTGTTAAAAGTTTCCCCATGAACAAGTTGAGAACATGTAGTTAAATCAGAGCTGAAGCTGTCTGCACTGTGAGAAGATTATGGAGGCCTTGAAATTTTACAGTTCATAAAAGAAATACTGACTACTAGTCAAATCTATACAAAACAGTTTGATACTCTTAAGTAAAAAATGACAGTTTGTTAAAAGACTATGAATTCAGATGTTGGAACACAGAAGTGGTAAATGAGCTGGCAGTACTGGCTTTTGCTAATAAAGACATACCAAAGCAGAAATGAGAGCAGAGGAACACAAACACCAAACAAAAACAAATAACCGCCCCCCCAACTTTCCACGCCCTCTTTCCATTTCTAATTATAAAGCACCTGTTGCACTGTGCTAGAGCTTAGTGATTTCATGAGAAACATCATAAATAGCCTTTTAAAAGAATCTACCTATAGAAAATATTATACATATAAAATCGCTCTATATTTCAAAATAGTTTAAAACTTAACAATTTTGTCTAACCACACCTAGCAATATAAAACATTAATTTCTATATCAGCTGGGTTTTTAAATCCATACAATGGCATCATTTCCAAAGTTTATCACAAACCCACTGATTTATATGCTGACACTGGAAACACAAAACTTATCTACAGATATAGATATACAGACATTCATATATATGTATATATGTAGATATATATACATATATAAATATGAGCACACGTTTTCACAGAAAAAGGCATAGTCACTGACAAAGCACTTTTCATAAGTAACTGTGTTTACCAAGAATGTTAATGTGGAAAAAATTTTAACTAAATTTTGCTTCAAATTGAACACAGCAGGGAAGATAGTTTTAGCTGCCTATCAGATTCTAAACCAATTTCTTGACTTGTTACAGTAAAATATTCACTGATAAATGAAATTCCTCATGTGTGAAGGGCCTATTCTAGCTACAAGGGCAGATATATGAGACTCCCTACAGTCTCTGCAAAAAACTATTTCACTCTTTGCTGATCCAAGTACTCTTTTGTAAAACAGCAGCTCAAGAGAGAATTCTGAGCTACAGATTTTCCTAGGAATGCCCTGGATACTGTGGAATGCCAGCCATAGGATTGAGGTCAGGGATGCTACAAGACTAGTTGTCAGAAGCTCTGGCTTCCTATCTGTGTATTAGATATTTAATCACAAGAAAATGCCTGTTTGGATTGTTTCATTGCAACCTGCTTTTTAAAAATGGCATCAATAAAATAATTGCTTGGTAAAACTGTCAGAAAACCGTGTTCTTTCCCTTGGTATTGAACTGGTTGCCTGGTGGACCTGAGAACATTCATGCCTGCAACTTATTTGTATACAGAAATGTTTGGACTCTGCCATCACCCACTGAACCATTTGATTATGTGTAAGAAAAACAATTCATGAGAAGCAAACACACTGTGGGTAAGTAGTCAGGAACTAGAATACCCTAAAAAGTATAATTAGGAGAGTAAAATTTTACATGTAAAAAAATTATTGACTCATAAAAAGATTGTATCTATTTGGGGTGTTTTCATCATAATTTGGTTATAATTTCAGTTTGAATATTATCATGTACTTAAACAAAACAATTATTCCCCCACCCATTGATAGTTTCATTTAAATAAAACTGAAATGTAAAGACCTAGAATTGAGCAAAGAAAAACATCTCTAACTGCTTTCAAAATAAATATCCAAGTTACATTAGATCCAACCCCTCTGCGGCACTGTCATACCAAAACCAGGTTTCTCTCCTGACATCCTGTCATTCCTTCTTCTTAACTGTAATTAAGATACAATTTCCTACTGTACCCTCATATCTAAGATAAGACCAAGTAATAACAGAAACAAAAGGATGAATTCTGTGCCTGACAAGGTTTTAAAAGCTGTTATTAATTGTTTAATAACGGAAAACTAGAGTTATCAGTGGGGAAGGGCTGAATAAGTCTACCAATTGCATTAGCTGGGAGAAATCGATTAGCTTGAAGTGACTTTGGACAAACAGGACTGCCTTGGGGTCTACTTATCCAAGGCATGTGTAACTCCGATCTTGAAATATATACTTGCTATTGGCAACTGTGTTCCTCTGACTCCTGACCAGTGACAGATACTATGACGCTGCACTTTGGCAAGTTCTCTAATGGCACTGATAAAGATTGGTAAGAAAAAGCAACAGGCATTCCCCCCAACAGTGTGGAGAATCCACAAACCACGTTTCTCTTCAGTGATCCGTCCATTTCAGCAGGACCCACACAACACACACCAGTCATGAACACCACCACGGGGAAATGTAACGTGCACAGGGAGACACCAACGACTTGCAACATGCTTATTCCCCAGCACAGACAGACAGACAGACAGACAGACAGACATTCTCATGCCCACTCTTCTGGGAAAAATTTTCTGTGAGGAGAGAGTTCAGGAGGCTTCGCCATGTGAGTGATCACCTGGAGGTAGCATCCAGGTGAGTGAGGCTAAGTCAGGGCACGTGTGCGGCAGACCCACGACAGCCAAGTACGATGACCACATCTCTTGCGGCTTCCTCCACAGAGGAGCTGCGCGCCAGCCAGAACATGGACCCGATCTGCTCTGCGCGGGAAGCATCAGAACTCGCTCGTCTTTTCGTGCAAGATGAAAGGTAAACTGGGTTTCCGCTGGTGGTGCTCATTTGCTTGAATGGCAGACTTTTCTTCTGCCCCCTTGATGTTGTCTGAGTAGGTGTCCTCCTCCTCTTCGTTCCTCGAGTTACTACCCTCCAGGCTGTGTCTGATGCCATAACTAAAGTAAATCAAGAAACCTTTCGGAGAAACAAATGTTTTCAGGGATGTCAGAAAATGGCAAAATACAGAAATATTATGCTCCCAATTCTAATTCTTTACTCCATTTAGTTTTTTCAATTAGAAACCTTCCTGGAGTTTTTTTGCCTTCCAGCTTCCTGTGTGGTTTTTTTTTTAAACACAGCAGCTTCCTGCCTCCCTCCTCCCCCAAGTCTCTTCTTTTTTTGAAAAAAAAAAAAAAAATTTTTTTTTAGTTGAATCACGGTGAGATATCCAGTCACAAGGTTGTTCAAGATAGGGATTCAGTCATACAATGTTCTAAACACCTGTCCTGTCACCAGTGTGTATTTCCCACCATCAATGTCCCCAGTTTGGCCATCTTTACAGCATATAGCCGAAGAGAAGGGCCACATGGAGGGCGGGATCCACAGCTCCCGGAGGGGAAAAAAAAAAAAAGGTTCCATAAAGAGCCAAGATCATCGGGAAGTCCCAGATGGGGTAGGTACCACATCCCGCCTCCCCCAGATGGAACCCCGGTGACCAGAAGCCTCTACAAGCACAGCTCGAGTATGCAGGAACTAGGACTTTTCCTCAAAACATCTCTCTATATACAAAGTGATCCATGGGAAGTAAACCACCCAACGTTTCTCCCTGAAAATCAGAGCTATGTTTGGAGCACGGCCACAGCCCCAGAAACACAAGGACTTAATGCAGAACCCAGCAGCTTGGAGCAGAAAAGTGAACGGACTATGCGTTAATCCAGGCCATCATGTCTGTCCGGAGGGGAAAGGGTGTTGCCCCAGTCGCCTTCTCCTCTCTGGAAAGAAAGATGGCGGCCACATGGGAGCCTTGTGGACAGCAGGTATGAGCTGGGGGTGTGGGGGTGACTAAAACCTCATGGGAAGGGGGGCATTCCGGTCCATCCTTCACGCCCTACCGAGGTCACCAGTTGCCCCCCACGAGCGGCTCTCCAGCACGGCCACAGCCCCAGAAGCACAAGGACTTAATGCAGAACCCAGCAGCTTGGAGCAATGTCCCCAGTTTCCCTCTCACCCCACCGCCTTGCCTCTACGGCAGGCATTTCCTCTCTCTGCTCTTCTCCTGCTTCCCATCTCCCTCCCTCCCCCTCCCTCCCCCTCCCTTGCCCCTCCCCCCTCTCTTCCCCCTCCCCACCGCTCCTCTTTTGGCATTATGGTTTGTACTACAGGTACTGAGAAGTTATCACGTATCAGGTCTGTCCCTTCCTCCTTTCAGCACCACTTTCAGTCTCTGAGCCAGATGACTAGTAGCGGAAGGCACGTCTTGATTTCAACATTCAGTCAGGCTTGCTCTGTAAAGCCTGTGCTCCCTCGCACACACACCTCCCTCCCTCCCTCCCTCCCTCACTTCTGTATCTCTCTGCTTGCTTTTTGAAGTTCATGTTTCCTCCTAACCTATATTCCCTCCCTTCCCTCCCCTCCCATCTGTCTAAGTAAGTTTTGTTCAGTAGAAACTACCTTACTTCAGTAAAAATAATCATTCAAGTTGTGTGGGGTTTCGTTTTTTGTTTTTTCTAAGGGGAGATTGGGGAGGGGGGGTTTACACTCAGCACCCAGTGGTGCTCAGGGGGTTACTTATGAAGAGTTGCCAGACCTGGGGGGTACTCAGGGGTCCTGGGCTTTGGGTCATTTCCAAAGATGCTTAGGGGACCATGTGATGCCTGCGAGCAAGGCAAAGTACTTTATTCCCCTGGACCATCTTTCTGGCCGCTTAACATCCAATCTTTAGAGGACGGATTTTTCTCAAGCATTTTTCAGATATTTAAGTGAAAAAGTTATATCTGTTTTCTGAAAACTAAATACTACACTTCAAGCAAAAGGCCAGGAGAGGCAAAATCTGAAACTCTACCTCTAATGCAAGTGATGGGTTAGCAGTCAGGGTCAAAAATTTTGGAAGTTGGGCCTACCTCGCTTCACGTGAAGGATGTGAAAGACAGTGCATAGGGCACCTGTTTATTAAGGGTCACACTGAATCCTCACAAGAAGGTGGTTACTTGCTGGATTTTTAGGGACATGTCAGAAAAATTAGTGAGAGGCTTTGGGCTGATGTGAAATGCATTACAATCTTCTCACTTAAAAGAGAGAAGAGCTGGGAAGACAGCTCAAGTAGCAGATATATGCTGAGCATGCCTGAGCATGCGCAGGGCTCTAAGTTCCAACCCCAGCTCCATGTGGGCCCTGGCAGTGCTGAGGGTGACCCCTAACGAAAAACTGTGGATTAGGTTATCTGCCTATTACTACTGTGTCATGTCCAATTATCAGGAATCCTTTCTGATAATTCCATTTCTTCTTGTGTTCCTCTGAGGCTTTGAAGCTCCAGTCTTTCCTACACATGTCCACACACACACACACACACACACACACACACACACACACACACACTCCTTAAATGAAGTACCACTGTCACCACAAAAACGAAGGTAACTGGGCCTAGGGCATATACCCGATTAGTGTGGAGGTGGAGGGGTGGAGCATGGTAAAGCTCTGATTTTGCAGTTCAAGCTCTTAGCCAGAATCACATATGTTCAGTGAGCGAGAATTTGAGGGAATCCACCTCATGTTTAAATTCGGTGGGGGCGGGGGTGAAGGGAGGTTCTCCAAGCAGTGCTCAAAGTTATGCTGGGGCTATACCCAGTGATACTCTGCGAGACAGTTCAATGTCTGGCCTGAACAAAGTGGTGCTGTTTGGGCCCAACAGTGTTGGGACAACCAAGGTAAGCGAGTGTCTCAGGGCCAAGCCCAGCAGCACCTGGGCGAGTATGCAGAGCAAGGGATCAAGCTTGGGGCCTCACACCTGCAAAGTGCTATTCCCCCTGATCTCTGAGCTCACATTTTAAGACAATTCATGCTCTTGCTTTCGTTATAATAAATCTAACTGATTCTAACTCAATTTTTAGAGCTGGACACGAGAATACTGAAAAATAGCACAGTATGTAGATATCGACTGGGGTTGGAATAATAGTACAGCAGGTAGGGTGCTTGCCTTGCACACGGCCAAACGTATATGGTCCCCTGGAGCAATGCCATGAGTGATCCCTGAGCGTAGAGCCAGAAGTAAACCCTGAGCACAGCTTGGTGTAACCCCAAAATAAAAACAAAACCAAAAAATATAGAGCTATCAATAAACTCATTATTTAATGATAAACTCCATCCTGTGACCCTAATTTTAAAAATGTAGGAACTGGAAAAGAAATTCCTTCCTGGGCAGCTCAGATAGAGAAGGGAGCACCAAATAAAGGGTGTCTGGAGGATCCTCCCAGGATGGGAGATGCATGTTGAAAGTAGACTATGGACCGAACATGATTGCCACTCAATGCCTCTTTTGCAGACCACAACGCCCAAAAGGAAGAGAGAACAAAAGGGAGTGCCCTGCCACAGAGGCAGGGTGGGATGGGGGGGATGCGGGTGGGAGGGATACTGGGATTACTGGTGGTGGAGAATGTGCACTGGTGGAGGGATGGGTACTCGATCATTGTATAACTGAAACCCAAGCACAAAAATTTGTAAGTCTACAACTGTACCTCATGGTGTTTCACTAATAAAAATTAATAAAAAAAATTCCTTTCTATTAGCTCATACTGTCTCCAGAAATGTACTGGCTTCTAGAAAGAACTGGTTCTGGAATCAGAAACAAACAAACACAAACAGCAACACTGAAAATGATGTGGGGCTTATACTGATAAATCAGATCCTTTGATCTAGTGCTCAGGGAGCCTCACTTTTCTCATTCATTATAAGCTGGGGCAAACAACATATAATGGATCTACGTGATTATTGGGGAAATTAAATAAAAGGTACCTGAAAGTGTTCGGAAAAGTAAGCATTAGATGGTCTAAAATCTGGGAGGCATTTTCAAGCCTTTATTCCAGGAAAAGGGAGGGATGCATTTCTCTAACCACAGTCCAGGAAATGAGAAAAATGAGAAAAATCAAAGTTCAAAAAATCAAAACATTCAGTCTTACCAAGTGCCATCCAAATGCTAAATCTGATCCAAGTGTCTGCGCTCAATTGGACCATCAAGTAAATGTTCACCAGGATGCTGAAGGCTGGCAGAAATGGTAAGAACGGAACCTAACGGGAAAAAAAGCTTGTAAAATGCACTCATATTTTGAAAGTTTTCCCCCAAATTATTCCAGCAGTGTACCAACAAATTTCACATAAAAACTTTCTCACTGCACCCATATCCCTGCAAAAGGAAAAGGAGAATAAAAACTAGTTTCCCAGAGTACAGTTACCTTTCCCACAATTACTGCGGCCTGAAGGGATGAAGCTGATCCAGCCACTAACATCCTCACTATAAATGCGAGACACCGGATTTAGGGCTTCAGGTTACTGTGGAGTTCACTTTAGTCAAAAGTATCAATAAGGGGCTGGAGCAATAGCACAGCAGGTAGGGCATGTGCCTTGCATGCGGCCGACCCAGGTTCGATTCCCAGCATCCCATATGGTCCCCCGAGCACCGCCAGGAGTAATTCCTGAGTGCAGAGCCAGGAGTAACCCCTGAGCATCGCTGGGTGTGACCCAAAAAAGCAAAATAAATAAATAAATATTTTTAAAAATGTATCAATAAACAGGGCATTCTCTGAACACTGGACATACATGACCCCAAGGAACTACCTTTCCGGAAACCTGTTCTTGTTGTGGTTGTTGTTCTGGGGTCGCACTGATTGTGCTCTGGGCTTAATCCTGGCTCTGCGCTCAGGAAACTCCTGGCAGTGTCTGGGGATCATCTGTGGTGCCAGGGATCAAAGTGGGATAAGGTGGGAGCCAGGCAAACACCCTCCCCACTGTACTCTCTCTCGGGAACCCTCTTTGACCGGAAGCAGCTCTGTTGGAGGGGACTGGATCATTTAACCTGCAAGAAAGTCCTCCTGAGCTGGTATTGTCACTGTCACTGTCACTGTCCTCCCGTTGTTCATCAATTTGCTCGAGCAGGGCACAGTAACATTGTGAGACTTGTTGTTACTGTGTTGGCATATCAAACATCACGGGGAGCTTGCCAGGCTTTGCCGTGTGGGCAAGATACTCTTGGGAGCTTGCAGGGCTCTCTGAGAGGGGCGGAGGAATCAAAGGGGGGGAGAACCGAACTCCAGTTGGCCCGGCCGGCCACGTGCAAGGCAAACACCCTACCCACTGTGCTATGGCTCTAGAGGTGGTATCAACTTTGTAAAAAGGAGGTTCTCCTTATTCTTCAGATGCTACAGCTTATTTGATGAAAACTTTGTTTACTGCTCTATGTAAAAATGATACTGTAATAAAGAGTACGTTTCAGGTTTTTCTGTTGCTGCATTTGTTTTGCTGCAATGTTCAGGCTCAAGTTCAGGCTCAAGCCTAGGCAGGTTGTCTCCTGTTAAACAACATTCCTGGCCCTCATATTTAAGTTTCTAAAGGGAAAGCAGAAACTATGAGGGAAACCATTCTAGACAAAAAGAAACATCTCAAAGAATCGTGGGATTCACTGGCTAAATTAACCAGAAAATACTTTTGCTCCTGTTTTCATTAAAAGAAACAATACCAAAAAAATTTTAACATAGAGGAGAAAATGGTGCCTAATATAATATTTGGGATCATGAATGCTCATTATACTTACCATAAAGGCTACTTTTTGTTGGTTCTGAGGCTGCCTCCAAATGACGACAACAATGGCAATGCAGAAGACAAGAAAGAGCACCAGAAGAGCAATGCTCCATGCTTCCAGCCTGGCGATGGCACGGACACCGTAAGTGGTCAGAATACTCAGGCCCAAAACAAGAAATGCTGCGAAGGCGAGACATACGGATAAAGGAAATCAGCAGACAGATAACGGTGAGAGTCGCCAGCACCAAAGGCTTTTCTATGTATCTACTCGGCCAAATAAAAGGATTCATTTTCCCTCTGGGAAAGAAAAGGCGATTCTCACAGATTTAAAAGTCACTGCTCATTTACTTGACTGTCCCCTCAGACACCAACCTCCTCTTTTCCTGCCACACCCCTCAAGGAGTAGGGTGCTCATCCTCCTGTACAGCTGCCATCTGGGTCTTCATTTCCACTGGTCTCAGACTCTATCTCACCGTTTTGGGGAGGTGGGTGGGGTGGAGGACCACGGAGATGCTATTTCCTCTTTTCCCAATGGGAAATGGCAAATCTCTCCATTTCCAGTTTCTTTTTAATTACTGACATTGTGAAATGCACACATAACCGTGATACACATGTGCATGCATCTCTCTGCATCATTTCTGTCTCTAAGCACGACTTTATTACACACCCTGGCCATGGAGTTTGCACTGGGTTCACTCAGAAAAACCTGTACTTTTCTCAGCTTACCACAGTAATCCCTTTCTTTCAAAATTAAGAGAGAAGCAAAACTTCTCTCAATATTCCAAAAGCACAGCAGTGTTCCTGGCCCCTGGAGGTTGCTCAGTAAATGTCAATGAAGGTATTAATAATTATCTGTGGGTGAAAAAAGAATTTCTGAAACTGAAGTAGCACTGTATAATACATGTTATAAATTACATACATTTCTCGTGTGCACCCTTCAGAATCAACATATGCAAAGACTACACTTAGTTCACTCACTAAAAATCCAATTTTATTTTTTACTGTACAATCTTTGTCCCAATTTATCCACTCCCCCTTTCTTTCAGATCACTACAAAAGTTTGTTTTTATTTTATTTAGTACATCTGTCTGTAACTGGTTCTGGAGGACTTCGGCTGGAGGGCTTCTGACCTCCAGAACCAGCCACCACCATGCTGAGACCACTCTCCACACGCATGAAGGTACTGGCAGAGGAACAAAGGCATACGGGTCCTGGGGCCGAGATCTCCAAGCCTGCTTGGATGGGGGCTGAGCATCCACCACCCAGATCCTCCATCTTCCAGTAGGCAGGGGTCACACCCACCAACTGGCCCCATGGCGCCGTGTAATCCCATCAACGGCCAAGACCCAGAGACTATAAAACCCAGCTCCCAGAAGCTGGACATCTTATTATCTCATTCCTACTTTGGACAAACTGGCAGGCTACCGAATGTAACCTGCCCACACGGCAAAGTCTGGCAAACTCCCCGTGGTGTACCCAGTATGCCAAATACCAGTAACAACGCTGGGTCTCATTCTCCTAACCCTGAAAGAGCCTTGAATATGGCACTTTAAAATCTCAGGGCTAGGACGAAGGAGACGTTACTGGTGCCTGCTCGAGGCAATCGATGAACAACAGGATGATTGTGATCGTGATCGTCTGTAACCATACATCAGTGAAGTCTGTAAGTCAGGTATGTGTTCAGATGAGCATTTCACTTTACTGCCTCCCATCCTCTGAGGAGTGGTCCCAAATCTTTTGTTTTTGTTTTAAGATCATACCTGGTGTTGTTCAGGAGTAACTCCTGGCTCTGCGCTCAGGAATCATTCCTGGCAATTCTCAGGGGACCATATGGGATGCCAGGGATTGAACCCGGGATGGCCGTGTGCAACCAAGCGCCCTACCCGTTTGTGCTATCTCTCTGGTCCTGGCAGGGGTACTTGGTCTGATGCTTCACACCAGAAATGAGACATGCACATTTGTACTCTGCTTGCAAAATTTCTTCCTTGCTTCTTCAATGACTAAGACATGACAGATGATCCTAATTCCTGGCAACCGTTACATGGACTATCCGGGGTTCAGGGTAGTTGCTCGCATGGTCTCGAGGAATGTGAGTCCTTTCATCTTATTCTACACAAAGCGTGTCCTGCCTACACCCATTGTGAGTGTATTTTTGTGTAGATGCATGGTGCACAAATACACCACAGTGAGGAAGACATACCGAGGAATCCGACGAGAAAGCTCACTAGAGTAGCTGACTGGGAGGTGGGCAGCACAGAAGGGCTGAGGATGGTGTGCAGGCCAAAGCTCTGTCCCTGCAGCATAGTGACCTGGGAGTTGCTCTTGGAGGCTGCACTGCTGCCTGGTCCCATGGCTTCCTTCTCAGGAGTGTACCTGGGCTTCTCATAAGATAAGCCAGGCTGGTACCTAAGCCCAACAAAAGAGTTTAATGAGTAAATGCACAATTTAACCACCCTCCCATTCACATTCAGGTTAGTCCATTTTGTTTTCACCAATGTAAGCCACTTTTTCTGAGAACATCCTGCACATATTGATATGTGTGTTTTGGGGGAGGGGGTGGGCGGAGGGGGGGAGGTTTGCTAACTGCTGGGATAAAAGTACAGTATTTTCTCAGGATCACTATAGGGCATAAAAAATAGTTTTTTACATAGTTTGGGCTGGAGAGATAGCACAGTGGTAGGGCATTCGCCTTACAAGCGGCCAACAAGGCCGACCCAGGTTTGATTCCTCCACCCCTCTCGGAGAGCCCGGCAAGCTACCGAGAGTATCGAATATCGAATATGCCAAACACAGTAACAACAAAGTCTCCAATGGAGACGTTACTGGGCCCGCTCGAGCAAATCGACGATCAACGGGAGGGCCTTTACCTTTACCTTTACCTTTACCTTACATAGTTTGGTAATAATCAATGAGTATAACCAGTATTTGAGTCTTGCTAGGATCAAGAATGATTTTTTTTTTTTGCCTTTTTTGGGGGGTCACACACAGCAATGCTCAGGGGTTATTACTCCTGGCTCTGCACTCAGGAATTACTCCTGGCGGTACTTGGGGACCATATGGGATGCCGGGGATTGAATTCGGGCCGGCCGCATGCAAGGCAAACGCCTTACCCACTGTACTATCATTCTGGCCCAAGAATGATTATTATATTCAGCATTAATGTTTCAGGTGCCCTCTTGCCCTGGTGGGACTCCTAGATCCCAAGAAGCAAGAAGGGTGAGTCTTGCTTCTCACTTTCCTGGGCTCCACGGTACCCACACACTCAGAGATTCCTGGAAATGAGGACAACTCACCTGAGGATGAGCACACAGGCTGCGACCAGAGAGTAGGCCAGAAGCGTGCCTATGGACATCATGTCCACGAGGGCCTTCAGGTCAAAGAGGAAGGCCATGACAGCTGGTGGGGAAAGACAGGCAAGTGAAGAGGGGCTTTCACAGCACGCCACATAGGGAGAACTCACTGGTGATTTGGGGCTTTAGTAGCAGTGGTAAGTCAGGTTTATGGAACAAAAACTTTCTCACAAATACCACATTACTCAGCTCATATAAACCGCTAATGAAACTTCAGAAACCTTCCACTATCTCAAGCACAAGACTCATCTGCTTTAGTAACATTAAAAAAAAAAAAAAGGCATCAGACTAACAAGGAATCAAAATACTAAGAAATATTGCCTGACTCCCTTTTCATTTTTATTTACTCATTTTGGTTTTGGGGTGTTATCTAGTGGCGATAAGGGTTACTCCTACCTCTGCACTCAGGAATCACTCCTGGCAGGACTCTGGGGACCATATGTACTGCCGGGACTCAAACCTAGAAGCCCAGGTTGGCTGTGTACAAGGCAAGCATGCTACCTGCTACACTGTAGCTCCAGCCCCTGATGCCCTTCAAAAAAGAATTCAATCAGAGGGTTTTCTTTGTAGATAATACATGATCATTTTAATGTCCATATAAATTTTAAATAACTTAAAATAACTTAAAAATAATTTAGTTATTTTAAAATAACAAAGTAGTTAATGTTTCCAACAGAGCTTCCATCCTGTTCTGATTAAATCTACATACTCCAGCAAGATTCACTAGATTTGAGAGCTCAGTCTAAGATGCTCCTCCCAGATCCCTTAAATGTTAGTCAAAATATCTTCTTAAATATACATATACCTAGTACTTAATTTTTTCCACTGAAATGTGAAATAACGATAATGTTGAACTTATTATATTGCCGTCTGTCATGGTAAACACATAATACCATACCCATCTAGATATCTCAGCAACCTTTATATAATGATCTTAATTTTCCTTAAGCTAAAAATTCTTTGAGACAGGGGATAGGTCTGAACCTACTGAGGTTCAGTTATATCAGATGGCAAGTATTTGGGGCCAGGGATGTGACTTCTTATGTCAAGCCTTGCATACAGAGGCTCAGGGCTTGATCCTGAGGAGTAAGGAAAGGGAGGCAAAATTTCAGCAATTTCATGTGGCTTGACCCACACCACTCACTAATCTAACAATTCACAGTTCAACAAAATTAGTATGGATTTGAATTTCTGTTACCAAGATCATTTATCACCTATCCTTAGTGCTTGCTAGAATCTTTCTGTAGTTTCTCATAGCAGGAACTGTAACACCATGGAATCTGAAAAATTCCACGTGGAATCACAATATGGCCAACTGTATTTCATAGGGTCATATGACACAATAAAAGCTATACATCTGGAGGTTCTGAACATGCTCAACTACCAAATTGTTTAAAGGAAAAGGAGATTTCCAGTGGGACTTCTGAGGTATCAGTAGTCTTGGAGAAATATCCTGGCCCAGAAGTTCCACTATCAGTCATTCTGAGGAGAGTAATTAGAATGGCTACACAGAAGTTAATTTTGAGGGTCCAGAGTGACAGCCCTGCGGGTTAAGGTGCTTGCCTTGCATGTAGCCAACCCAGGTTCAATCTCTGGCATTTCATATAGTCCGTGAGTACTGTCAGGACTAATCCCTGAGTGAAGAGTCAGAAGTCCTGAATACCACTGATGTGGCCCAAAAACCAAAAATAAGGTTTTGATTTTAATTTTGATTTTTAAGACTTTATTAATAACAGGCAAATGTAAGCTTTTCAAAAATCCTATGATAGTTTAGCGATATTCAACTTAAATCCTGGACAAGAAAGAAAATAGTGAACCATCATTACCACTTTTTCTCATAACACAGGAATCATTATTTTGAATTAACCATTTAAAATTAAGTAATTCAATTAAAATTCTGTATCATTTTTTTATGAGCCAGCTCATCCACAAGAAAAGCATTTAATGCCTGCATTGAATGAAGACCCATTATGACCCTTTAAGAGTTATTAGGAGCCCCCAAAATTGAAATAATGCAATAGGAAAAAAAATGCCAGAGGGTCATTTGAGAATGAATTTCAGAAGTCCACCACCACAATTTTTTAAAAAATATAATTTCAATACTCATATCCTAATTTATCATTGATTTTTGTTCACAACTTACATGCACAGCAAGCAGACCCTCTGTGTAAGTCCATGCATGTGCTTAAGCATTTAAGTCCAATGTCGAGAAAGCTTGTGCATGTAAAGCTTACCAGAGATGAACCCTGCAGTCAGCGTGGCAGCAACTGGTGACTGCCTCTTACTCACTCTGGCAAGAAATCTAAACAGTAAACCATCCCGGGCCATGGCAAACAGAATCCGGGGTAAAGGAAACATAGAGCCCAGAAGACTAGAACAAAAACATTCATAATCCACACGTGAGTTATTTACAGGTACTATTTTCAAAAGGCATAAACAAGTAAAGACTGGACACACGAAGTGCAGAAACTCTGCCCAAACCTTTTTATCCAAATATTGACAAAAAAAATTACCGTACCACACAAATCAACAGAAAAACCACCTCGTAACATTTATTTTTTTCCAGTTTCCTTGATTCTGAAGAAATGATTCCCCCTTTTCTTAACATAAGTCAACTCTCTCTCACCTGCCACTGCACCCGATGATAAAGTAGCAATGATTGGTGTCTTCGTTTTGGAATTGATTTGAGCTAGACATTTGAAAAGCAACCCATCTTCTGCCATAGCATAGATTACACGCGGCATTGGGAAAATGGATCCAAGAAGACTGAATAAAAAGCAAACACATGCAGTCTAGCAAACGCATTCATGCACAATTATACCCCAGAGCTGAATTACATCCCAGAACTGAATTACACAAACTCAGCATCATAGCTGTCAGTCATACTATCTTAAAAATATCTATCATTGGAAATATTTGCTCATAGTTATCATTTTACTACAATTTTGTTGCAATAAAGTATTTGCCCAGCAAAATTATCACAGTGAAAACAATGCTGCAAGAAAGTTGTGCGTGCCCATAATTATTACTAAATTAAAACTAAGAATTAAGATTTATTTTAAAACAAATTAAATATGCCACTCATTTTTAAAGATAATAATTCAGAAAATAAAAATCTGAACTGATAAGCATATTTAAATGAGATTTTAGGCAATTTTATTTCATAGTAAGCACTAAATTTACCCAAAAATTATGCATTTTTATAATTATTTGTTTTTCTTTTCTCATATAGTTTGATCTTTGAGCAAATTAGCAACAATTTCCAGTAAAAGATAATCAAAGCAGAGAGAAAAAAAAAACCAAATTTGAACTCACTGTAAACTGGATACACAAAAATAGCCATAATTAGTCTAATAGTAAGGTCTAAGAAAACAATCTTTGGGGGCAGAGCACATGTTATGTATGTTTGAGTTTGAGTTCTATACTCCATGACACAAAAAAAGAAAAAAATCTAAAAAAGAGAACAATTTTTACTTTAGAGGTTTTGGATTTTTTGTTTTTTGACATGCTGGAGCGATAGCACAGTGGGTAGGGCGCTTGCCTTGCAAGCAGCCAACATGGCTGACCCGAGTTCGATTCCTCCGCCCCTCTCGGAGAGCCCAGCAAGCTACCGAGAGTATCTCCCCAGCACGGCAAAGCCTGGCAAGCTACCCCTGACATATTCCAAACACAGTAACAACAAAGTCTCATGATGGAGACGTTACTGGGCCCCCTCGATAAAATCGATGAACAACAGGAGGACAGTGACAGTGACAGTGTTTTTTGACTGGCTACATCATTCCAAAAATGGCCAAGTTATGATATTCCATGGTCTAAGGCAAAGTAAAATATTGTATTTTAAAAACTCATCTTTTTATCTTTCAGTAAAGTTACGTTGATCTTGGCCATGGATGGATCTTTGTCTATTTCTTCCATTGTGACTTGGAATTCTCACAGTTCAGATTTTTAATGACATATTGAAACTATTAGAGCAAGCATTAATGCTACCTTAATGCTAAGGAGTCTATGGGGGAAATTTCTCTTTGCTGCTTAATATTATCTTGATAGTTTTAGAAAGCCAGACTGATAAATTATATCAGAAAGTTCTTTTTCTAGTTTTCTAGTTTCCGAAAATTATTTTTACTTAAAAACTAGTAATAAAAGAGGTTAATTTTCTTTTTGTAAGAATGCTAAACTACCTAACATCATAAACTACCTAACACCATATAAAAGCAGGATAAAATGTCTCTGATTATGCTAATGTGAAATGAGAAACTCATGAAATCTAAGAAATAAATTCTAAATTATTAAAAAGAAGCAGCAACTGAAAATCTGAACACTTAAGATTTATTTATCCTTTATTTTTCATACAGATACAAGCTTCTCAGTTCATTTAAGAATGATAATTTCTAAGTCTTTAAGGTCACTGATGAATATTAAGAGAAAATCTCACTATTTCAAAATAAAAAGTTCATTACGCTAAACAGTGTCACAGCACAGATCTCCTCACATACACTTAATATTACATTATAGATTCCACTCCCTTAGACTTAATATTATTTTAAAAATTTTAAGCCTCTACTTAATATCTCAGGTTTCCATAGCACTACAAGTAGGACCCAAAACCAGTACAGGCATCCTAATACATACCTAACACATACATACATACATACATACATACATACACATGTCTGGCAGGTGTATGTGTGTATGTATATAGTTGCAACAATGACATATCTGTAACTGCTAAAGCTTAGACCATCACTATCTTGAAAAACTGATCCTTTACTAAAAGGGAGTTTGGTCCCTTCCTATTTTTTATTTTTTTTAATTAATTAATTTATTTATTTTAATTATTTATTTTAATTAAAAAATTTTTAATAGTGAGACATCATGAGGTACAGTTGCAGACTTACACATTTTTGTGCTTGGGTTTCAATTATACAATGATCAAATACCCATCCCTCCACCAGTGCGCATCTCCCACCACCACGGATCCCAGTATCCCTCCCACCCCCCAGCCCCCATCCCACCCTGCCTCTGTGGCAGGGCATTTCCCTCTCTCTCTCTCTCCTTTTGAGTGCTGTGGTTTGCAAAAGAGGCATTGAGTGGCAATCATGTTTGGTCGATAGTCTACTTTCAGCATGCTCTCCCATCGTGGGGGGATCCCCCCAACACCCTTTATTTGGTGCTCCCTTCTCTTTCTGATCTCCCTTTTCCCCTAGCACGTGTGGCTGGCCTCCAAGCCATGGAGTAAAATTCTTGGTACTAATCTCGGCCATTCTTGGGTGTTAGTCTCCTATTTTGTTACTTTATGTTCCCCAGATGAATGCAATCTTTCTATGTTTATCCCTTTCTTTCTGAGTCATTTCGCTTAACATGATACTTTCCATGTAGTACCACTTGGATGTAAATTTCGTGACTTCGTCTTTTCTAACAGCTACATAGTACTCCATTGTGTAAATGTGCCAAAGTTTCTTTAACCAGTCATCTACTCTTAGGCACTCAGGTTTTTTCCAGATTCTGGCTATTGTAAAGAGTGCTGCAATAAACAGACAACTGCAGATGTCACTTCGACTATACTTTTTTGCCTCTCTGGGATATATTCCCAGGAGTGGTATTGCTGGATCAAATGGAAGCTCAATTTCCCTTCCTATTTTTTAGAGGGCATTTCTAGGCAAACTATTCAAAGAAATAAAAACCAAACCGAGTATTTGAGGAGTGTGTCTAGTAAGTTCCTCAGTTTCAAAACACATAGAAACAATTCCTAGAATCCTATAGGCAGCCATACCACAAACAGCCCTTGCACCAGAGTCAATGCACTGTACCTTGTGGAGAGAGCACAGAGAGAGCCTGCAGCCACGACATACTTGGCGGGACCCCATCCAACGTATTCGAAGGCTACAGGAAGGGGGCTTTTTTCATCCAGGAGGTAGTATGGCATCATAAGTGTTAAGGCAGCGGATACCCCAAAATAGGCCATAAAGCAAACAAGCAGAGAAGTCACAATTCCAATAGGAATCGCTTTCTGAGGATTTCGGACTTCTTCACCTAGGGAGTATCAACAAAAGATTTGCATAATGATGAAAACATTGCTACATAAAATATTCATTCTTCTCCACCATTACTCTACTCAGTTTTATCCCTTCACATCTCTTTGGTTGATCCATCTATTCTACAAAGAAATATTAAATTAAATTATATTTACAAACTCATTCCTCTTTGCATATCGTGCTATGTTAAAAATATTATTCTAAATATACTATGCAGCTGTTAGAAAAGATGAAGTCATGAAATTTCCATATAGGTGGATCAACATGGAAAGTATCATGTTAAGTGAAATGAGTCAGAAAGAGAGGGACAGACATAGAAAGATTGCACTCATTTGTGGAATATAAGGTAACAGAATGGGAGACTAACACCCAAAAACAGTAGAGATAAGTACCAAGAGGATTACTCCACAGCTTAGAAGTCAGCCTCGTATGCTGGGGAGAAAAGGCAGCTCAGATAGAGAAGGGACCACCAAGCAAAGGGTGCTAGGAGGGCCCGCTCGGGATGGGAGATGCGGACTGAAAGTAGACCGAACATGATGGCCACTTAATACCTCTATTGCAAATCACAACACCCAAAAGAAGAGAGAGAGCAAAAGGAAATGCCCTGCCACAGAGCGGGGTGGGGTTGAGGGGACAGGGCAGGGGTGGTGAGAGGGATGCTGGGACTATTGGTGGTAGAAAATGGGCACTGGTGGAGGGATGGGTTCTCAATCCTTGTATGATTGAAATGCAAGCATGAAAGTTTGTAAGTCTGTAACTGTACCCCATTAAGATTCACTAATAAAAAGAAATTTTAAAAATTAAAAAGACGGGGGCTGGAGCAATAGCACAGTGGTTAGGGCATTTGCCTTGTACGCGGTTAACCCAGGTTCAATTCCCAGCATCCCATATGGTCCCCCAAGCACCACCAGGAGTAATTCCTGAGTGCATGAGCCAGGAGTAAACCCTGTGCAATGCCACGTGTGACCCAAAAAGCAAAAAAAAAAAAAAAAAAGATGTATTATTCCAAATATGTCTACAATGTTAAATGGTTAGCAGTTTTCAATATCTTGGAAAATGATTCATCTACAGAGATTAACTGTAGGGAACTGTGTTTACCTTTAAATACAAAGGCACAGTTAAACTTCTATCCATTCCATCTCTTCATATTAAGTCCTAGTTTTAACTAAAAATAAGAAGCATACTTCGGAGTCGTCTAGTAGGAGTTAGCATCTGAAGCACCAAAATCAGGATCATCCAATGTAAGAAGTCAGGAGAAACAGAGTGATCATTTTGTTGTATAGGATAAGTAGAAAAGAATGAATCACCACCATGTATTCTGTTCTACAAAAGCGTCTAAGAGCATGATCACTGGTTATCTCTATGATGGCATTCCCTGGTAGACTCTGAAGGATGGTTAGCATGAGTCACGTTTCTAAAGTATTTGAGAGCTCATCAAATATTTTATGACAACGCCTGAGTGGTAGGTAGGTACTAATCTCCCAATTTTCCCAGTACAGAAAGCAAGGCTCGGGAGTCTCAGTAAGCTTCTTATTACACACAATAGGTGCCACAGTCCTTCTTACCCCAAGTCCCACTTTCTTTTCCTGACCCTCTGCTGCCACCCATGGGTACTTACATTGCACAAAGAACACTTTCTCCTACAACAGAGCTAAGATGGCTCTTACCAGTTGTTGCAATGCAGTCAAATCCCACGAAGGCATAAAAGCAGGTTGCAGCCCCAGCCAACGTTCCTGCAAAACCATAAGGCATGAAGCCACCAGCTCCATAGATACTCGTTCCATTTTCAGTCGGTGGCTCTCTAAACAAGGGACCACATATTTGAGAAAAGTCACTTTCATAGAAAACCACGTCTGCTAATTAGTTCCAAGCTATGTCCCTGAAAAGCTGTTGCTTCACCAGCCCTTCAAGGCTGATGTACACAAAGCTAAAACGAAACCCTGGATCTCCGATTTTGTTCTAAAGAATTGGGGTAGAATCCCCTTCCATGACACCTTCCAGTGCCACCACTACTTAGGTAGATGCTGAAGGAAAACATTCTGCCAGAAACACCCTTTGATAGCTACAAAAATTTCTCAGATACTCGTTCCGGGATGAGACCTCTGGAGCAATCTCAGTCCTACTAAAGCTCCAGAAGATGCAGCCATATCCCAAAGCCGCCATCCTGCCTCCAGCCAGACTGCCTCGCTAAATATTCTGGATTTTCAGGAGAATGTGGCCACAACATCTACAAACTCTACAACATTGCAATCCAAGTGGTGGCACATCAGATTGGACTGGAACGTTATGTAGAAGTCCGTCAATCTCAATGAACATGGAAATTAACCAGGACGGTAAGCAACACCTTGGTAATTTAAACCCTTGGACAGGACTTCATGTCTCCGTGAGGAGATACACAATTTTCACCAATTTTGTTCTATGAAAATATTTTTTGATCATTCCGTTAGCCCTTTAGCGGTAACAAGCAAAAGACTGTTGCGGGCCTGTTACGGGGGTAGGTTTGAGGGGCAGTTAAGGAATCGGGGGCACTAATGGAGGACAGTGACAGTGGTTGTGGGAATAATAACAGGGAATAATAACAGATTATTATGAATAACTTATAAACCACAACGTTTAAATAATGTGGAAATTTTCTTTAAAAAGAAACTTGTTGAGAACGGAGTCTCCATTTATGGGCCACGAGCTGGAATCAAGACCAACAGCACCCCCACACCCCTGCCCAGAATAAAGGAGCAGAATACAGTTTCAAAATCTACAAAGAAGGCATTCAAAAGTCAAAGGAAAATTCTATTGGCTCGATTATGAATTCTGAGGCTGAATTATCTTATTACATGCTAAGAATTGTAAGAACTCAGGATACCATAAAAGCAGTGGTAAAGAAGCATTTTGGTGTTCCTCATGCTGTGTAATGGGTGTTTGTGTAATCTTACTTATATAAAATTATTTGTTTAATAAAGAGATTTTCATAGAAAAATGTTATAAAAAAGTGGATACTTCAATTCTAGGATGAGTTCATTTAGATGTTATTATTCATAATTTTTGAGCCTCTCAGGTTTAGAATAAAATGTACGAAAAATCCTGCTTATACAAAATTCTCTCCCCCTAAAAAACCCAACCACAAACAAAGTCACACATGGAAATTACTACCACCTTGAAAGAACTCAATGAGGTGGAACAGAGATTTCCCCCAAGGGAGAACTCCAGAACGCAGGACTCAAAACATGTCCATGTTACTGAGGGATGGCAAACCCTAGCGATGGGGGGGGTGAGTATGGTTTTGATCTCCCTTCTGTTTCCCTAAGCCTGGAGCTGGGCGTACACGCGAGGACCAGCAGCCATAGGGCTTCAAGGGGCTGCTAAACAATGAACATCACGTTATGTGCATTCACGCTGCAGGGAACTCTGGGGAGAGTTGTGGCACAGAAAGATCTGTCTCAGAGGCATAACATGTGACTCGAAGAAAATGTAAGAACAAAATAGGCAACATTTTAGAAGCATATTTAAATTTTGCGGGGGGGGGGGGGGGGCGTGGTAGTAAAGGGGGCAAATACCTTACCTGGCGCTTGCTGATATGTTTTTGAGAAACTCCTCACTAATCTTCCAGTTTGCCACATTTCCCTTCACAAACCCAGCAACCATAACGAAGAGGAGGACCAGGATATTAATAGCGGTGAAGATTTTATTCACCCACGCAGACTCTTTCACTCCAAAGGACAAAAGACCTGGGGTGGGGAGGAGGGGAGAAAGGTTTCTTGATTTCTCAATTAAGCGTCATGAAAGGAACGGCCCTGGGGCAAATTACTGGCTTTAGGATTTGATTGCACCCACATTGGGAGGTTTCACTCTTTCCAAACGCGAGGTCAGACTCAGTCTCTGAACTGGGAAACCATGTCTTCTGAACATAGCCGCCTAGAGGGTGCCAATGCTCACAGCCAGAAGACAACATACACAATAATGAATCATCTGATCTCATAACTTTAGCTGCTACTGTCAGCAGATATGTGGAGTTAAGTTAAGCAACTTAATTTTAATGAGATGCTGTTCTCAAAGGCCACTTCATGGTTAAAGGCTGCCAAATGTTGAAAGTTAAAACTCAGTCTTAGGGAGCTAGAGAGGTAGTAGATCTCAAGGCAGGGTGCTTGCCTTGTACACGGTTGACCCAAGTTCAATCCCTAGCACCTCATATGGTTCCGGGAGCCCCCCAGGAGTGGTCCCTAGGAACAAAGCCAGGAGTAAGCACTGAGCACCACAATGTGACCACCAAACAAACACACACACACACACACACACACACAAAACCTGAGTCATTGGTTTGTACATTGATTAAATAAATAATTCTTCAGCTCAGGCCCAAATGCTATTTTCTCAAATGAATTCTATTTTTAATATCTTTATTTTACATCAGGATTTCAGAAGTGATCAATTATCTAGCAAACAATTTGAACACACATTAGTATGAAGGAAATGAAAATCCTGTAAATTTACACACACACACACACACACAAACACACACACACAGAGTTCAACACCAACAAATATATAATATGTTGGGGGGGAAGGAAAGGTGCCCAGTTGGCAGTTCTTAGGGGCTTCAGATTCAGTGCTTAGGGATCACACCTGACTGTACACAGGTGACCAGATGGTACCAAGGAATCAAACCTGAGTTCTCACATGCACTCCAGCCCTTTGAGCTATCTCCTGAGCTCTATAGCCTAATTTAATGCTCTTGCTCTGTGTGAAGATTCTACCTATAATCCCTTATTTTTAAACAATCAGGTCACTCTCGATTTCTTACAACTTTATTATAAACAGTACTGATAGAGTCATTCTTTTATAAATATCTTTGCTCTAATTCTTTATAATTTGCTGTGAGAAAATATCAAGGATATGTCTATTATACAAGGTTTTTAGGCTCATCCTATCAAACAGGGCTGGAGCGATAGCACGGCAGTAGGGCGTTTGCCTTGCACACAGCCAACATGGCCGACCCGAGTTCGATTCCTCCGCCCCTCTTGGAGAGCCCAGCAAGCTACCGAGAGTATCTCGCCCGCACGGCAGAGCCTGGCAAGCTCCCCGTGACGTATTCGATATGCCAGACACAGTAACAACAAAGTCTCCAATGGAGACGTTACTGGGCCCGCTCGAGCAAATCAATGAACAACGGGAGGACAGTGACAGTTTCCTGTCAAAACAGATTCCTGAAAGTTTGTTCCAATTTTCCCTTTTCTTGTCCACACTTATTTTTAAGATTTATTAATATGGTAATGCTCTTCTGCCTATCAAATTAAGCATGTTTCCCCCTCCTCCAGTTCAATTTATATTCTACTTTGTCATCTGCTTAAATTAATTTCTTAATCTAAGTTACCTCCAACAAGATATGCCCAGGGAGGGTGGAGAGCTACTCCCAGTGATAGTTGAGAAACCTGGTCAGTAGTTTAATACTAGAGACTAAGGAGGGGGTGCGGGGGTGCAGGGAGTCACAGAGCAGCAGGCAGGGTTACCCCAATGGAGCACAGGGGTCTCCAGGGCCCTACCCAGCAACATTCAGGATTGTCCAAGGCCACACCAGGTGAAGCCAGGAAGACCTCCCAGTCCCAACCATTTACTATTAAATTCGATGTTATTATACGGAGGGAGGGTTTCCAAATGTAATTTTTTCTTTTCAGTTTCTACTTCTGGGGGCTAGAGTGAGAGCACAGCTAGTAGGGCGTTTGCCTTTCATGTGGCCAACCCGGGTTCAATTCCTCTGCCCCTCTCGGAGAGCCCAACAAGCTACCAAGAGTCTCCCACCCGCATGGCAAAGCCTGGCAAGCTACCCATGACGTATTCGATATGCCAAACACAGTAACAAGTCTCCCAATTCGCTGTGAGACTTTACTAGTGCCCGCTCGAGCAAATCGAGGAACAAACGGGAGGACAGTGCGACGGTGCTACGGTACTAGTTATGGAAAGGCTTCCTCCTAATAGTAACGTCCAAACATTCACCTTTGGTTTCTCTGAAACTTATATCATGTTTATCATTTTTTTCATCTCAATCTGTGTAAGGTAGGAATTACAGACCAAAGAAAACTTGCTTTCTATTACTGGAGATTGTAGGAAAAAAAAAGATTATGTCACAATGTTTTCTTGTTCCCTTCCCATATCTATACCAAGTAGAGATAAGAGAAGTTGAACTTTGTTTTTCTACCTAATACCAGAATTATGCAATAAAATAATGCTATTAATGACATAAAGAAAAATTGTTTGCCTGGGAACCACAGCTTTTCACCTTGATTTAGGGCCATACCCAGCAGTGCTCAGGGCTTACTCCTGGCTCTGTGTCCAGAGATCACTCCTAGTGGGCTTTGGGAGACTATATAGAGTGCCAAGGATCAAATCCAGGAGAATGCAAATTCTTGGGTTGAGGATGTGGTTCAGTGGTAGAGCACATGTATCTTCCATGTATGACAACAATGGAGTTTGATCCCCAGCACCACACACACAATTATAAATCTTTCCTTAGTAAAGTCTCATGGTCATTCAGGTAAACATCCAACTAGTACTATAAAATAATATGCCTACTGTGGTGGTGGTGAAGGTATAGTGATTTTGTACACCAAAATCCTTAATGCTAATACTACTATAAGTATGTTGCCCAAACTAAAGTAAAAATTAAAATGGTGAATGCAAAAAAAAAATACTGTGTCTCATGTCAAACTGCCATTTAAAAAGAAGATTCTACAATTTAGATCTTCTACAATTTAAATCCCACACAATTTAGATTCACCTCTATAATACCTATTTCAGAAGTTGCCTCAGAGCCGGCATGCGGGACTGTGCGGTCTTTGTGAACTCGTGCCATGGCGTACAGTGGCCAGGGCCAGAAAATGCAGAAGGTGATGGTGCAGCCCATCAACCTCATCTTCAGATACTTGCAAAAGAGATCTTGGATTCAGGTGTGGCTTTATGAGCAGGTAAATATGCGGACAGAGGGCTGCATCATTGGCTTTGATGAATATATGAACCTTGTGTTAGATGACGCAGAAGAGATGCACTCAAAAACAGTTAAGAGAACAACTGGGTCGGATCATGCTAAAAGGAGGTTGTATCACTCTGCTCCAGTCTGTCTCTAACTAGAAACCATGAGTGATCTGAGAAATTGTTAAGAAGGCGCTGCAGTTTGTTTTCTAGGTGTTTCTTTGGGGAAAGTAGTTTTAAAACATTTGTTCATGTTGTTTGGATCACTGTTATGTTCATATTCGATGACAATAAATGCTGGGGGATTGTTTCTAAAAAATCAAAATGAAATCAAATACCTATTTCATACAATCAAAAGTGATCATAGCCAGCAACAAGGCCCACAGATCTCTGATCATAACCTAGATTTATAAATATGCTACTGAGTGCTGGGAATTCGGCTCCAAATTCAGCAGCAGGGTCTGGCTTGCTATGAGGAGTCATGGGATTGATTTTCTTACCTGCTAGCAGCAGGATGAGGCATACAGCAAAGAAATCAGGGTACTCTGCAAGGCCGGTATAATTCATTTTGAAGTATGTCCTAAAAAACTGGCCGATCTGTTTGTTAAGAAGTTCATCAAAGGTGCCACTCCACGCTCTTGCAACACTTGACGTACCTTCCCCAAACAGAACATTTAGAGAATACAAGGTCAATGACAGAAGATTAACGTAAGGCCATTTGCTGTGCTCTTCCACGATAATATGGACCAGCAGTTCACATGAAACCAGAACTTTTAATCATATATAAAAACATCTTTAAAATTTTACCATTATGTAAGAGCAAGGAAATGCTTCACCCCAGAGCAGTAAAATCAGATAGCATTGTACACACACACACACACACACACACACACACACACACACAGAGAGAGAGAGAGAGCTTTTCAAACCATATTAAGAATAATATTCAAAGATGTAGTAGAATCCCCAGATTTTACAATTAAAAGCTATTTTAGAGACAAAATAAAATGAAACGTGTGATACAGTGATAGTTCCTAGCAAATGAAGTTATAGGGCGGCCCTAAAGGCTCTGACTCGGGAGCGATTGTGACCCTGCAAATCTACACGTGGAGAGCTATTTCTGGGACATACCTATCACATAAGACAGAATGAGATTCCAGCCAGTGATGAAAGCCCACAATTCTCCCACGGTGACATAAGTGTATAAGTATGCTGAGCCTGTCTTGGGAACTCGGGCCCCAAATTCAGCGTAGCAAAGGCCAGCCATCACCGACGCCAGGGCAGCGATGAGGAAGGAGACAACGATGCTGGGACCAGAGTCTGCTTTTGCAACTTCCCCTGCGAGGACGTAAACCCCAGCACCAAGAGTGCTCCCAACTCCCAAGGCGATGAGGTCCATGGTAGATAGGCAGCGGCATAATTTGGTATCTTCTAGACTGTCCAAGGTGACGATTTTTCTTCGGATAAGACAGCGGGCAAAAGACAGTGCAGCTCGGCAGGGAATCATTCTGGAGACGGCAAGCTGAGGAAAAGAGAGGAGATGAGAAGCTGACCTGGAATCATCCTTCCTCCAACCACTGGCCCAGTTTCTCAGCACAGTGAGGGGACCTGTAATTTTCTGTTACGAAGACTGTGGCCCAGAGCAATCAGAAGATTGGCAAAGTGAATACTGTGAGTTTCTTAGAGTTCAAGCAGACCTGTCATTTCATAAAGGAGGACATCAAATAGTTTACTAGAGCAGCAAAGAACAGAAATTTTGGGTGACACAATAGTCACTGATTTTTTTTTTTACTTTTGGTGTCATACATTTGTAAGGTAAGCTGAGAAAATGCCCTAAGAAACAGTTCGTTTGCCCTGCTCCAAGCAAAGGAGTGAGTTGCCTCATCTTTTCCGGCCTCTCTCTCTTCTTTAACCATGCTTTCAATCCACATTTTCTAAGCCCGATTACACACCAGTGCCGGTACGAAGAACACATCTAGAACGGTGCTGTACACAAAGGTGGTCTCTGGCCTGACAAGATTTATAAGCACTGCTGTCATCATCATAGCTATAGAGTTCTCAAATATGTGCAACTCTCCGCTTTCATCTCCTTCTGCTTTGTTGCAACATGGAGCCATTTGAGATTTTTGTGTTAATTTTAAAATGATTTTAATAAAATCTTCATGAATTGCAAAACTATGCATGACTGAGCTTCAAGCATAAAATGTCCCACACCAATCCCATGACCAGTATCTACTTCCCCCCTGTCCCCCAGGCCTGATTCTATGGCAGGCACTTTTCTCTTTCTTTTCTGTTTTTACTTTCATCCCCATCCCTTTTAGGATGTGGTTAATAATACGGTTACTGACAAGTTACTATGCATGTCACTTTACTGCCTTTCAGCACCTAGTCCTGGCATTTGAGCTTTTTTGGAATAAGAAAAATTTCCAAAATGTGCTTGGAGTTATCTAACTAAAACTACCATCCACTACACTTCCAGCATAAATTTATAGCAAAATGAACATGCTTATCTATATTTACTTGTGCTGCATAAATTAACCCAATCCATACCAAGTACAACTTATTTAAATCTTCACTTTATCAATATAAGTTATGTGCAAAATAAATAAAAGATTCTTCATGACTTTTCTTATACAGAGACATAATAACTCAGCAGAGTAGGAAATAATAGGAATAAGGAATATAATTGCATAGGCAGCTTATCAGTGAAACAATTAAATACATTTAACTTTTACCTTATTTATTGTAGTTGAGACAACATGGTGGCATGATATAAACGTTTTCAGTGCAAAGTTCCTGACCTTCATCAGCACAGAGTCAATGACTCTCTACCACAGTCACAACTAGTCTGTCTCTTCCTTTCCCCCATTTAACTTTGAAATATTCAAGTTGATGTCTGCCACTTCTACAGCACAGTTCAATGCCATCTCCTTCAATCTCATTACATTACCAAACCCCTAAACTCGTGAAACCACAGCTTGGCATCTTCTTGGCATTTTTTTGAAAATGCCCCACCCACTGTACTCTCTCTCAGTCCCAAGGCCCTGAACACTTTTTAATCTTAATCTCTGTAGAGTACAAATGGTCCTGAGAGATGTTCAAAGGCTGGAGTACATAATTTGAATGCAGATATTCTAGGTTCCATCACTAGCACTACATGTGCCCTGAGTACTGCTGGAGGCAACCCCTGAGTACTGGACAAGAGTAATCCCCTGAGCACTGTCAAGTGGGGTTCCCCAAACAAATAACCCAAAAGTACTATTAATAAATAAATTTGCCATAAGTATGAATAACTGTTGCTCTTGAGAGAGACATTTCCAGAATATCCATAACCAAGTTTCAACCTAAACTTTAGAGAAAAAGAACTCAATAAACAGCCATACATCAATGCTAAGTGTAAGTCCTTGATATTGAAAGCCAGTTCTTTAAAGAACATGGAAAAAACACCCTAAATAAAAATGAGCAAAAAGTTCCTTGACAACAAAGATACAGCATCCTAGAAAGTGCCATGCGTGACCCTCCACAAAAATGTGTTGAAAAATGAACAACTCTAGATGACATCTTATTTTACCAATACCCTGAATTCCAGAGTCAAAAGCCATCTATAAATCAAAGCAGTATCGATTTTGACCATAAACTAGCCACTAAATAGCTATTTCTCTTAGAACATATCTGGAAGATAACGTAGGGCTGCTTAAGAGAGAATCCAAGAAGTTAAAAGCTAAAGTTATATAATGACCAACTGAGGTGAGGGGAAGATTTTAGGATATTTACTGAATGCTTACTCTCCATAACATCTTCCACATTTCTATGCACACACAGATGAGCAAAAACCAAGAACTGCGACTATTGCCAATTTTCAATGTTCAGACCCACTGCAGTTCAGCAGTGATTTAGGATCATGTCACGTACTATTTTAGGAAATAATTTATATACATAATGAGCTTACCTGGTTGCTACTGACATCAATAAAAAACCCTCTTCATAAAGTACTGATTAACCCAAATGTTACAAATTCAAGTCAAATTCTATAACTTATATGAATTTTAAGAGCAGATATGGACAGAAGGAAGCAAATCTATGAAGGTATTTTGGATAGGCAGAGGATCATGGATGAGCTTTCCTTTTAATATTTTTTTTCTGCCACTACGGAGAGGCACTCCACTGCAGCACTGTCCTCCCGTTGTTCATCGATTTGCTTGAACGGGCCCGTAACGTCTCCATTGTGAGACTTGTTGTTACTGTGTTTGGCATATTGAGTATGTCACGGGGAGCTTGCCAGGCTTCGCTGTGCAGGCAAGATACTCGCGGGAGCTTGCCGGGTTCTCCGAGAGAGGTGGAGGACATGAAATTGTGAAATTAAAGGAACGGTATGAAACGAAAAGGAGCAAGCAAGTCAACCAACAAACAAATCTCTGAAAATTATTAGAAGCTCAGTACCCAAAACAAGTACAGCAGCAGCCATTCATCTTGTCAACAGAAAAGTAAGTTTAATCCTGCCTCGCACAGCGCCTGGTATATTAGTGCCTAATAAATATTTATCAAAAAAAGGAAATTCCAGATCATACAGGAAGGAGAACAACTCACGGCTACGTAGAGTTTTATTCGGGTAAAGTGACTGCTACTGTTTCTTTCCTATTAAAACTGAAAAGTATCTCATTCAGTTTTTCTCTGCTGTCCTGAGAAAATAAGACAAAGCTGTAACCAAGCATTTGTTTGTTTTTAAGTAACTGAAGCGCCAACGTCAGAAACTGTTCTGAGAACTGACAGGTTACATAATGTCCCTCGCAAATAGTCTCAGCTGCACACACCTGACAAATACGGATTGCAAAATTTATGATACAAACCCCAGTTTGGGGGGAAACTGACCCAGAGAAGAGAGACATAAAAAAGAAGCTTTGGGTCAATTTAATAAACCATATTAAAGAAACATTGAGCCCTGGCAGGTGGTTTTAAAAAAGAATCTCATGCTTTAAAAAAGACGATGGTTTTAAAAAAGAATCTCATGCTTTCAAAATAATAATGCGTTCGTGAAGACTGAGTGATACACGGAAGTATAGTGGCAATAGGGGAATGAGAAAAAATATACATATATATGTGTCTAAAAGTTTCATCGTTTTTTACTTGTTTTGTCTTTTTTTGTGTGGGGGTAGGGGGGACATCTGGCTGTGCTCAGGGGATACTCCTGGCTCTGTGCTCAGGGATCACTCCCAGCAGGTTCAGAGAACCATATGGATGCCAGGGTGTGAGCCTGGCCTATTATATGCAAGGCAAATGCCCTACCTGTCATGCTACTGCTCTGGCCTCACCTTCACAACATTTTAAAAAGATATCTTGCTTGTGTGAATCTCATTCTCATTCTCATTTCTACAAGGCTCTGACATTATGGATGTGGGGGTGGGGGATGGGAACCCACTCATAACAATCCTTCGACTAAGGGACTATACACACACACACACACACACACACACACACACACACACACACACACATATCCCCTGGGCTTGCTTGCCTGAGCTGTTTTACTGTCTCACCAACAATCAGTTTCAGAAGAATATACCCAGGGATTCTGAAGGTGATTCTATTCATCAGGAATAATGGCTATGTTTTCCCAAGAGCAGATAATGAATCACGCCATGATACCTACACTCAGCTACTGCTACTGTGACCAAGGAGGGTGTTTTAACATCAAACTTACTTACACGCAGCCAAGCACAAGGATCCTGGCTTTTGGGTGCAGCTTTCCCTCGCCTTAACCTACAGAAGGCCTAATCAACATTTTCACATGGTCCTACGTGATTCTGGTGACCCCAGAGCAGCTATCTATTCCGTAAAGCAAACAATTATTTTACCAATTGCTAATACACTGGCTACTTTACCAGAAAGAAAAAGTAGGTACTCATTAGTTGAGCTCTAAAAATGGGAGTTAAGTCTCTGGAGAGGGAGGCTAGAAGGCATCTGTTGTCTGTGGGGCAGCAGAAACGACTCTGAGTTTCATGAGTCTAAGAATAAAGTTGGATGTTTCTCAGCATCCTCCTCTGCCACCCACTCAAAGTGTTTCAGGACCCCTGTTTTGGGGTTAATTGAATATCACCAAAATCTCTTTCCTCAGCCACCTGAATCAGATCCTTTTCATACTTCTTCAATACAGACTATAAAACACACAGTAGTAAATTTTAGATCAAGTAAACCCCCAGTCTTTTTTTTTTAAAAATAATTTTATTTATTGAATCACTGTGGGAAAAGTTACAGAGCTTTCAGGTTTAGGTCTCAGTCATGCAAATATCAAACACATTTCCCTTTACCAATACTTATTTTTTACCATGAAGAACCCCAGTAAAACCCCACCCCCCACCCCTCCCCATGCCTGTGAGGCAGATGAATTCTAGTTAACACTCTATCTACTTTGACTAGATTCATTGTTTCGATAAAAGATTCACCACTATTATTTAGAGTTTACCCCCCCCCCAAATCAGACATGCTGAAAAAGCATTGTGAAGTGATTTGCCTTCTACAGCTGGG